AGAATATATCTGCAGTAGGGAAAAAAGAGAAACTTATAAAGAATTGTGTGATACTGTATTTTACTTCTGATTTTAAAATACTCCCTGCCCTTATAGAAAAACAAGCACATTTTCCCATCCACTTTGGGCACTCAAAGCAAGAATCATACGATTGGATCAAGAAGCCAAAGGGCCCATCCACTTCTAAAATCACTACCGGGTAGAAACACGGTAAAATTAGAGTGACAAGATGAAAAGGTGAAAGGCTAGATGTTCTGACACTAAATCTGGTTACAATTATGGCCATACAGTTTGGGGGACAAAATATATGGTTTTATAGGGTTTTGAACAGATAATGTGGCATTTCAGAAACTGAGGTATAGAAGTCATGGCATACTTGAATAGTTCAATATATATTTTTTACAATTACAATTATCCAGGAGGAAGAGTTGCTCCTTCTTCTTAAGACAATGCCTAGTCAGAATTACAAGTTCTAGTTTTCCAAGTCTGTGTCTTATCTCCCATAGTCCAAGTATCCTTTTCCCAGGCTGGTGATTGACTGCAGGAACTGCCAAAACAAATATCTGGCAGTGGAATTTGCCTCTCTGATTCCAACAGATGGGCCTTAAAAGTAAATAAGTCCGTAAAAAGCAAGAAAAAGCTGTTGGGAACATTGTGAGAGTTCACAGAGAAGCAGCGGGAGAGAACGGTGTTGTATAGTATGTATTTAGCAGATGCTTTTTAGTTAGGCTCAACTAATGAGAAAGGCAGAGAATATGTTTATCTCAGCAAATAATCTGAGAAAACATGTCACACAGAATCTCTTATTTAGCATGTACTATCCTCAGCAATGAAGGGGTCAAAAGACACGTGAATAAAACCCCTGACGATCTATACTTCAGATTGGATGTTTACCAATAAGTGCAGGAGAAATGTGAGTTTATATGTTTAAATAGGGGCAATGTGAGGCATGACACGGAATTTGTACCAAATATTCATTGAGTCCTTCAGGAGTTCAGAGAAGAGAACACTCATTTTCAACTTTCAGTAAAAACAAAACTTTTTTTTTTTTTGCAGTTTTTTTTTTTTTTTTTTTTGGCTGAGGGCTGGGTTTGAACCCACCACCTCTGGCATATGGGGCCAGCGTCCTACTCCTTTGAGCCACAGGCGCTGCCCCCAAAACAAAGAAATTCATGGAACATTTGGGATTTGAAGGTGGCACGCTGGTACCTGGTTACATTCAGTGTCCCCCCCCTCCTTTTTTCCCTTCCTTCCTACCTCTCTGCCTGTGCCTTTTTTAGTCTAGTTTACCAGCTGCCCCTTTTTCTTGTGACCATTAGATGTTGGAATTCCTTAGGGCCTTACTCCTTTCTTCTCCCTGTTTTCTCCCAAACTGACTTCATCAAACTCTACAACTCCCATTACTAACTGCACGATAATGACGTCCACTTGTGCATCTGTGGTTAAGCGGCTCCTCAGATCCCTGTGTCCGACCACCTCACTCAGTTGTCTCCAAGGGACCTCAATGAAACAGCGCCAAGACTTAATACTTGATTTCCCCTCCTAAGCCTTGTCCTCACTGGCACTTTATAAGTTAGAAAATGGCACCGCCATCCAACCGGCTGCTTGAGCCAAAGCCTCCAGAATTTTCCTTAACCCTTCTGCCTTATTCATTTCCTACATCCCATGTAATCGTCAAATTGTGTCTGTTTGACGTCTAAGGAAACTCTGACATCATTGTACTCCCTTCCATGACCTCCTTCTGTTATAGTAATTTCTCTGGTGGTTTCCCTGGATAAAGCGACACCCACCTCAACAATCCTTCCATCACTCTCCACGGTGGAACTAAAGGAAGTTTGTGATTTTAAAAATCCACTCTGAAGTGAAAGAAGCCAATATGAAAAGGTGACATGCAGAATGATTCCAGTTATATGACATTGGAAAAAGACTTTGAAGATAGTAAAAAGATCATGGTCGCCAGGGGTTAGGAGAAAGGGTGGGATGAATGAATGGGCAGAGCACAGTGGGTATTTAGAGCAGTGAAACTAGTCCGTTATGTTTGCCAAAAATAGAATGTCCAAAATGAATGAACTGTAATGCAAACTATAATGGAAATTGTCGATTTGGGTTCATCAGTTATATCAAATGTACCACTCTGGTGCAAAATTTTGACAGTGGGGGAGGCTGTGCATATGTGAAGGCAGGGGGTGTGTAGAAAATACCGTCTGCTCAATTTTCTTGTGCACCTAGAACTACTTTGTTTTTCTAAGTGTCTTTAGGAAATCCACTATGATTGTGCATCTCCTCCTCAACTCCTGAAAATGCTTTATTTCTTTCCCAGTGATGTTGAAATAACAGTTGGCACTTCCTAGCACAGTCCTTGTCTACCTCTGTAGCCTCTCCCACTCCCTTATGTGCCTCTGCAGCCCCTCCCACTCCCTTGCTTACCTCTGCAGCCCCTCCCACTCCCTTGTCT